ACACACCCCCACACCCCACAGCCACCCACACCCACACCAAATAAACCAAAACAACCAATGCAACAACAAAATAGTATGAGCAATGACGATGATGATAAATCAAATGAAGACGATGACGATGAGTCAGATGAAGTAAGAAATTAATCCAAAAAAGATCAAATCATATAAAAATTTTTTTTTTCTTTTATAATAGGGTGATGATATGACCACCAATCCTAATATCGTAACCAGTTCAAGTGCATTAGCAACAACAACCGCTATGGATACAACAGCTGGTGATAATTAAACTGACGACTAAAAAAACTTTTGTTATTTCTTGTTCTTTGTAAAAAAATTCATTCTCTTTTTTTCTTCGTGCGTTTCTATGTGTGTAAATGAAATTATTTATTTATTTATTTATTTTGAATGAGCATATTTCATTTAAAATACATATATTAAAAATCAATTAATAAGGATAATATATACTGCAAAAGTAAGATACGCATTATTCAAAAAAACGAACCAAGATGTAAGACAAAAAAGATCCACCAACAGCAACATTGTTAACTGTAATCAGAAAGTTTCGGCTTCAATTACTTGATTGTGGTTGGTAGATTATTAGAAAGGTATGAAAGCCAAAAGAAACCATTTTGAATGTTATTTACTTAGCACCAAGACACTTCGAACAGTCTATTTCTTTTTTCTCCCATTCTACTTATGAATTTCAGTTAGTAAAGAGATAAGAAACCAAAACCGATACCATGTAAGTGCAAATTTAAGGAGACTAATCATAGAAAAAGGCTATAAACACAATGGTAAATTTTGGTTGGGAGTAAGAGCAACAGTGGAAAAGTTCTCGATCGTGAACTAATTTGCGCCGATGAAGGTCAGAACTCGTCAGTCAGAGAGCGATAGATGGCAGCCAATACGAAAAGTTTCTGATCAAAGCAAAATATTAGTGTGAAGCGTTAAGTGCTAATCACTTCAAGCCACACGGCGATTCATCAAATCGTAGACGAAGCAGCCCCAGACGGGTTAACAATGAGAGAAACTCTAACAGAAAAAGGTTTTCGCTGTATGCTCATACTTCAGAGTCAGAGTGCGAAATTTCCAATGTTTCATCAGTTTGTTAGAATGGTACTGGGATCTTAGGCGTACAGAGAAGTTCATAGAAATGAGTCAAAAGAGCTTTGAAGAATAGATAAATTTGTCAGAATGAGAGCTGAAATTTCTAAGTAACATGCAAATCGCTCAGAGTCAGAGCAAAAACTCCTGTTCTAATAAACACGGATGATAATAATGGAATAGGAGCTGCGATCACTCAGGCATTGAACAAGATGTAAACGAGAAGTTTCAAGTGATATTAGAATTATGAGCATGACGACGCCATATTTAAACTTCCATTAATCCGATATAATGACTGGAAAAAAGTCTTAGTATACCTATCAATATATCTAGGTCAGTGTGAGCAATGTGAAGTATCACAAAATTATGCGCTAAAAGAAAATAAAAGATGGCAAGTCACTTCTCAGTTCAACTAAGTACCTGCAGTTGGTATCATGTCAGAGTCAGATGCTTGAAACTTACATAAATAACCTTAGGCCCACGGACGAATACATAAAAGGAGAGAAAGAAAGCTTATAGCAACCTATCAAAATATGCGCATTACGGAAAATAGCTTCGGATAATCGATGAATATGTTTCGTCGATGACAAGGGTGCGAGTGTGTTGGCTTAGACAGTGGAACCACGTCCACACTCACACCCTAAAACAACAGTATCACATCATTTTGAACCAAAAACAAAAATCTCATCATTCGGTTCAGCATAGTGAATCATTCTTATTTAGCCTCTTCTTTGGATGACCGTAAGTCGATTAGATGAGATTAGAGATTTCAGGGAAAGTCTTATAATTTTTGAATGGAACAAGTTAAGAATATCAACCTTGTATAGATCGAAAACGACGAACTTTTCCTATGGATTTAGTCTCTTGAAAGTTTACATAGAGAAGAAAATAGCTTCAGAATGTTGTTTTCAAAAATTTCTACCAAGTACTTCCGTGATTGGTCTATTTTTAATCGATCGAATTTCGATATAGGTCGATGGCACAGATTATTTCTCTTAAGTGACGAAAACTGCAGATTTCTATTATGTTCATATCAAAATTTATTCAAGAAACAATACGCACATCATATTTTGAAGTGCATAGTAGTTATTTGGATGGTTTTCCATCATTTCATGAGAGAAATTGACAAAGTCACTATTGTTTTATGAGACAAACGGAAGAATAGTTTACTCTGTTCTTTAGACTTCCTTATCCTTCAAAGTACTGTATTGATGTAGTTTAGCTACTTTTCTATATATAGTCTTTGGTATTAATTCTCTTGTGGAATGATAATATTTTACTGGATTTTTTATGTATTTTATGACAAAGCAGCATCGGTTAGATAACCTTCTCGTAAGTGTTGTCAGCTTCATGAAATAAATGCTTTCATTTACTACTTCAGAAGCCCCCTAACATTAATAATCATTGTACAAGCTTCTTTATGCTGTGTCATAAACCGTTGACTGATTGATGGTCCTTATAAACTTTGCTACATATTATCTAGAAAATGAAAGAATTGAATGCTATTAGCATCAAACAAAAAGACAAAAAAATTCTCCAGAAAATCACAAAACTTACGGAATTAACTTTTTTCGTATGGTAAAAGATACTCTCATGTGACTGTGGTTATCGGTGTAGATGTTAGTGTAACGAATGAATATCTGACACTCACACTCACATCCAACTCTTGATTGTTTCTTTGACCCATAGTGCATGTTTGACTCTGAATGAAAAGGTAAAAAACGTGTGAATTGTGGACAGAAAGGAAAACATTTAGAAGCAGTAAAGAACTTTTTTCTTTTTGTCTGACACGGAACTGAAGAATTCTTTTCATATTCATATTTATGATAATATGAACTAAAAGGTTTTGTAGACGAAGCAGTGGCTCTTATTGGTTCCAAAGGTAGAAAGCTCTTTATCTCGTCAAGCTACTGGACTTCTATGTTGCAAAAGATAACAGGATTTTTTTGCATTCGAGATTTATTGATCTATCAACTACTTGATTAAATAATATTCATTGCTGATATGTTAGCTGATATATCGGCTGATTAATCAGGATTCAAGAGTGCAACTGTACCAACACCAACGGCAAGATGCGAGAAATTTGACTTTGACAACTCTACTGAAGTGAGGAGGTGTAGGTGGGTGTTAAACAGCTCTTCTCAACAACACCCACATCACCTATCCTCAAACTGAGTAAGAATAATCTAAGCATTCGTCGAGATATTTTGAACTGTTTTAAAGAATGATATGGTATTTCTAGTAAGTATTTTACGAAGAACTCTAAACATATACGGATGCAACTTGTTTTTTTTTCAATATAAGATTTTTGTTTAATATGGATTCGACTGTCACCTTAGAATTTGTTCTCAGATAAATCAATTTTTACAAAAATACCAAGTTCAATGGACAACAATATCTAGAAGTGCGAAAATTCTAGTAAATTTCGACTGATTCTAGGAATTAGAATTTGTGCATCCCTAAGTGGTATATTGAAAACCACTTAAAGCCAGTTGACAGTGTAATTTGAAAAAAAAAAGTCATCATATGCGAAAGATGTGCAACTACTTCGGGATAATGCTCAACCTTATATACACCTGGGTGTTATTAATTATTTAACATAAGAAAGTATCAATATAACGCGACAATCATCATTTTCAGCAGAGAAGTATTCTTTAAGACATTGTTAGAAACTGTGGAACTATGTATAAATAGTCATGATGATTATTTTGAACATGTAATATAACAATATGTAAAACTAACTCTTTACTTTGATCCTTTTTTATTCACTACTGCTGTAATTTTAAGTAAATCCTAAGTGCGAGATTCTAAAACAACTTAACAACTTTCAAAGAAGTCTTGTTGGAATTTATGAAAATATCTGCCAGATTCAGTAACAAAATCCAAAGTCTTGATACATTTTGACACGATTCAGTTCAAATTACGAATATATTCAATACAATCTGATTCATGGTTTCGATTAGGTAATGTGTTGAATAACAATATTAGGTTCTAAATAGCTTAGAGAAGACTCTTGTTGTGAAATACTTAGATGAAATAGTGTATTGTTTTCGTTTTTGATAAATTTCATTTTTTTAACATAAGAGTTCATAGAAAATAGTTAATATATGATAATCAAAAGCATTTTTAAGAAAACTTTGTCTATGGTGATATATCAAACCATTATAGTATTTCTTATCAGTGTTATGCTGACATGTGATCATATTCTCAGAAGTAATAACGAATGAAATGAAAAAAAGAAGATTATTATTAACGAAAAAAGGAAGCTTGGAACATGAAGACGCTTCTCGTATTGCTTCTATTTATTTCTTCCACATACGCATATGTCGAAGAGAGTGCTCTAACTACTTTACAAACTTTAGGTAAGATATTTTAGAATTTTATTTATTCAATAAATAATCTAACATCTTTTAGATCATTGGAACACATTTCGTATTGTCTTATCACATACACTTGATGAATGTTTTTATCTTGAAACAAAATTAGACGATACAATTCATGTCATCTATCAAGTACTTAGAGGTGGTGATTCCCTTATACGAGTCACAGTAACTAATTCATTGGGTCGTCTAGCATATACTCAAGCTAATACTGCCTTTGGTTGGTATGATGAAGAGAATTCGAAAGTTGCAGGTACAGAAATCTTATAAGGAAACTGTTTGTTTTTTTTTTCTTTTCATAAGTATATGTTACATTTCATTTTATCTTTTAAGGAACTTATCGAATATGTTTCAAGAATGACCAATATTTTACAAAAAAAATTATTTATATAGGTGTACTTGCAATTCATAAAGATCGTATTCTGGAAGCAAGTATAAATACAGCGAATGAGAAGAAAGCTAATGAAACTGCGATTATAGAAGAATTTTCTACGAATACTATGGTAAATTGATAGATTCATTTTTTTTTCTCATCTTTTACGCTAACAAACACGCACATGTCAACAGTCTGGTTAAGCGATCAAAATTCTAATTGATCGAAAATCGATTTTTTTTAAATATTATATCAATTTCAATTAACTTCTAATTTTAATTGTATGAAGTATTATTAGGAATTCGTGAAACTTTATTTGACAGAGTATTATTATAAAATGTAGTACAAAAGTTTGAAACACATTTAAAATCTCAAATAATCTTTCACTATTGAATGACTATTTTAAAGCTCTTTTATCTACCATTCGATGAAGAATATAACGGACTACATTCAGTTGATAAGTATATAAACGGTGAAAGCATTGAAAGCTGAACAAAATGCTATCAAACTCGCGTTAAAATAACGTATCTCGGTAATTCAAAAGTATTTTTTGTGGTTACCTATCCATGGAAGTATTCATCAAAAATACGAAAATTACCAAGAAGACGAATTATTTTAACGCAAGTTTGATATCATTTTGTTCAGTTTTTAATGCTCTTTTCATGGATGTACTTATGAACTCACAATGACTACAACAGTTACATTAAATTTAATTCAAACTCTTGACAACAATTAGATATCAGATCATTATTTGAATGATTTTAATAAATAATATTGAATAAACTAATCCACAAAATAAAAAATGTTTGAAATTTTCGTTCTTCAATTTATTTTTTGATCCTTCTTTTTTCGTTTCATTAGCAATCACTTCTTACGATTTCAAAAGGACTTTATCGTCTTACTGCTTATCAAACAATAGAACGAGTTCAACATGCACATGATTTATATGCGGTTGAAGCTAATGCAAGTTATGTACAAAAGTGGGCTTTATGCCAAATCATAGCAATGATTGTATGTTCAATAATTCAAGTTTTTAGTATTCGACGATTATTTAAATCAACAATATCCAGTAAAACATCATTGAGTAGAAAATCTAATGAAAATTTCAATCCACGAACATCACCATATTTTATTCTAGCTAATTAATAATCTTTTCTTTTTTTTCTTAAGAAATAAACTTAAAATACAAGACCAACAAACGTACAATATTCTTTTTTTGCTGTTTAACATATGGCTGAGTACTTTTTTCATAATCGCTATTATTTTTTTGCACTTAAATATCATATTGAATACGCACGTACTCATAAAATATAGCTTTTGTTGACTTTTTTTTCTTCATGGTGATTTAGTTTTTTTTGATACCCTTGATAATATTAAACGAATGGTATGAAGAGAAAGAGAAAAGTATAAAAGCATTTTTTTGATATCATTTTCTTGTGTTCTGAAACAAACAGAAAGAATAACATTGGCTAGGGGTCTCATCCATGGTACAAGAAAAAAAAGAAGATAATAAATGACAGCACGCATAGAACTAACTATCATCATTTGCACTTACAAATTCGTGTTAGTCTTAGTTTTTCATTTCTTTCGTTCTTTTTCTTAGCACGTACACTTCTACCATTCTCTATCTTATACATTTTACTCTATAATAGAATTAATCTTTGAATATCAAAAACAAATCCTTCACTTTTTTCTTCATCTGATCGATAAACACCACGCTTTTGGCTAAAAAACGGTTATAGAACAAATAAAAATTTACTAGGTAAATACATTCTATAGAAACATTTTTTCCTTGTTCTTTTTTCAAATCTATTCGACAAACTAGAACCTAGTCATTTTTTTAGCTTAAGTCGAACATGGTATATATATTGATTGAGTACATAGTTCAATAAGATAAACATATAAATGATTGATTGCGTTGAAATGAAAATTTGAAAGTATGTCGTAGTGAACTTTTTTTACGCTGATATCTTCATCATTCTAATATGTGGGCTCTTCTTAAATAGCGATTCAATCGTACTGCATGAGTCGATCCTTATTGTGGCTAGAATGTCGGTTGTACAAGACCGAGTACAGAACGAATGCCTCAAAAAGAAAAAAAGAATAATGAAAAAAAAAAAAAAAACAAATGCCTCATTCCATGTTTCGTCTTTAAATAACTGCACATAGACAAAACGTACATATTCTTATATCCGATAAGCAAATAATATCGGACATCGTTCTCGTGGAAGATTCTTTATATGATATTGCATGTTGTTTCTATCAGAAACAAACAATGCATTTCGTTTTGATTTTGTTTATACTTCATCATCATCAGTAGTGATATCATCATTTTTTTAATATGTATCTATATTTGTATACTCTTGTTTTGTTTATATTTAGTTCAATTTACATTATCTCATCAAATCAAGTTTTCGAAAGAATTTTGAATATAAATCAAAATTCCTAGTCATTCATGTGTCATCTTTTTTGTGATGATGAATATATATTTAATTATTTTAACAAAATCTAATCAACAACAGCATCTTAGCAGTTGTTTTTATCGAATGTATGCATCAGTGTCATGCTTACCGAATTATTGTTAAATTTAATTAATATTCTAAAAAACTTTATATACAAGCTTTCTTTTAAAATTTCTCTTCTTTGTTTTATTATAATGATTTATTTGTTTTGTTCATCTTATTCAGCTTCGATTTCGACATTGAATTATTTATCGTCATTGTCTTCTTCGAATCAATTTGAATTAATGTCTAATAGTTCGTATCGTAACTTTATTCTAAGACAATATTTTATTGATTTATTTAATATATCACATACATCTCTTGTTCGTTCAATGATTTATAATCATCATATAACCAGTAGATCTATACAAAGTAAAGGAACAAAAGAAAAAGATTTTTTTTTTTCATCTTAAATTAGATTTCTAATTATATAGTTAAAAATACAAGAAGAAAACGTTTAAGTGATGATACATCATTATATAGTCCAATGTTCACTTTACAATCAAGTAATTGTTTCGTAATTGATAATCAAGTTCAATCAACATTTATTTGGTCTCATTCAATAGAATTCTTAGCTTCTATTGAACTTATCTATCATATTGATTCAATTGAAACAAAAACATTATCAATTCCATTGCATATAAAATTTAAACATTCACAAACATTAACAGAATTTTTTACAATAAATACATATTTACAATTTGATTTTAATCGAGATTTTTATTTCATTAATATATATCAATATATATTACAGATAAAGAATCAAAGTTTAATTATTGAAACAATAATATATAATGAAACATGTCAAACATCACATACATATATAATAATATCATCAATAAATATTCATTCAAAATCAGATCAAACATTAAAATTAAATTCAATACTTTCCTTGGATCTTCATCAATTAAAACCAACACAAACCAATTCATTATTATCAACATGTAAAATGAAAACAATTCAAATTAAATTTGAAGATCTTGGTTTAGCTTATTTAATTATTCGACCAAAAGAATATGAATTTACATATTGTGATGGTTTATGTTCTTATTTAGCATTACAACAACAATCACAAACATCAATGCATGCACTTTTTCGATCAATTATCAATAGAAAAAAACTCAATATTCCACAAGCAACTTGTGTACCATCACAATTTGCTGACGATAATTTTCTTCTTCGAAAAATGGATGGTAGCCTTGAAATTTATCCTATTAAAGATGTAATTGTTAAACAATGTGCTTGCCTGTGATTCCCATTTTTTGTTTGTTTGTTATGTAGACTATCAGCAAAAAAACGCTTAACGACAATTTCTTTTTTTTTGCGATTAAAAATATAAAATAATAAGACGTCAAATGATATTTTGTTTTTTTTTTTATTCTATTAATTATCAAAACGTTCGAATATTCAAAGTTTGAAAGTATACAATAAAAGATTGTTATTGAATTTATAGACATAATTAATTAAAAGAATTCAATATGTATGATAATGAGTGGGACTAAAGATCTGATGGAATGCGTCGACATGGTTCTCTCTTGAAATATCTAATCATACCCAAAAAAAGGAAAATACTATTTTACTAAGGAATGGTATTCAACTTCTATTGTAATTAATACACACAGATAGTAGAAGATTTTTAATCTTAAATTAAACTATGTTTTCCTGATAAACGAATAACTCGAAATAAACATTGGATACATTTGAACGAAAAAGAAAAATGTATGATATGTATATACATATAAGTCTTTATGCTAGTACATACATGATAGAACAAAAAGAAAGAAGTTCGACACAATAAAATATCTGCTTCATTTAAACTTCACTCGAACCTTGTACATAATCCCAATCGACATTTAAATGATCTCGTTTAAAAAATAATTTAAACTTATCAATACTATCTGTTTCTCTTTCTAATTGCCATAGTAATTGACATGCACAAACAGATTCAGGATTTGTTATTGTTGGTGGTATAGGATGTGTTCCTATACCTTCATTTGTCCATGCACTTGATGATTCACTTTCAATATCAGTTGTTTTCATTGAAAATGTTAAATCATTATTTGAATCTGAACGAGTCTTTCCACGTCTACTTTTACCACGTTGTCGAATACAATCATGAGGTCCGATAGAATTCACTGTGTTCGATTGGTTTGTTGCATAAATACAATCGGGTAAATGTGTTATTGACGATTGTTGTTGTTGTGGCTGTTGTTCTGGAATGATTGATGATTTTTCATGATTTTCTACCTCAGTGATAATAGCTGAAGTTGCTAGAGAAGATGGTGATAAAACTGATGCCGGTGGTATTGGCGGTTGAGGAACATTAGGTGAATCTATCACTAGTGCTGCTGGTATATTATCTAATGTTTTCTGAGTTAGGATACTTGTATGATAAGATAAATCATCTGCGCTAGCTGTTGCTATTGGTAATTGAGGTGTATTTGATAGACGACGATGATGATGATGATGTAGCCATTGATCTGGATAAGCTGATAGAGAACGTGATGGACGACGATCACTACCAGGAAAATCATTTGTACGTAATGATGATGCAGCTGAATTAGGAAAATCTGCTTTTAATCGTAATGTATTACCAAAACGAATACGATGTAAAACTGATTTACGAAATAATGATGAACCTTCACTATAACGATAAGATGACATGTCACTTTTCGATGTTGTTGATGAACCAAAATGACAACGAATATCTTTATTTGTTGCAAATGCACTAAAATAAAACCATAGAATTTCTTTACAAAAAAAAAAATTAACGTAAAATCTTACCTTCGTTGATTTTTTTCTGGTTTAAATATAATTAAATAAAGTTTTGGAAAAAAGAGAAATATTAGTACAACATAAGCACTGGCATTGGTTGCAACACATAATGAAAAAACTTTAACATCAATAGCAAAATAAACAGCAGCGAATGCTAACCATATAACACATGTTGTATACATTGAAAAACCAATAAATTTCGCTTCTAGAAATGGGGAAAAAAATACTGAGTTATTTACAAATTTTAAGGACGGAATTTCAAAGCTATTAGGTTTCTTCAAAATAACTATATAATATTTCTATTTAAAGAAAATGAAATTTTCAATAAGTTTTATTAGAGAAACATGGAATATCTATTCCACCTAGTGAAGACTGGTTCGATCAGTTACAACTTTGCATTCTGTATAGCTTACCATTAAAATTTTCTGGCAAATTTCTTGTTTTAATCTAAAGAAAGCAAATTTATAATCTACTAATAAATGTACTAACTGAACGGTACTTACAGCATAAAGTGTACATAAAAAAACGAGAAGACCATCAAAACCAAGTGGAGCTACAATACCTTGAAGTGATTTTTTACCTAATAATAATCTCTTATTTAATCAAAAAAGAAGTCTAAAAAACAAATAATAATCTTACATGTAAGTAATAAACGTCCTCCTGTTTCAATTAGAACAGCTTTTGGTGGATCTCGATAAACAGTAACAGCTAAAAATAACAAAAGAATTATTTAAAAAAGAACAAGAAGCTAATCTATGTGTATTCAAGTTTCTTACCAACAATAGTTACTTCAGTCACAAGTATAAAACAAGCTATGGCAAGTTGATGTCTTGCACTCATAAATTTTAATCGTCTGGTTATTATTTTCTTTTTACTACGTGCTAATATACGTGCTATACGATTTGTTTTTGTTACTAATGAACCATATATCATTGAAAATGATATACCAGGTAATAAACGTGTTAAAACACATATAATAAATGATGGTTTTTGTAAAACAACAAATGCAGTTAAATGACAAAATAAAATACCCATTAATATTAAATAACTTAATTCTCGTGTCGTTGATTTAACAACTGGTGTTGCATTAAAACGTACAAATATATAAACAACAAAAAAACTTATAAGTATACCAACAGCAGCTACGAAACATATTATAATTGATAATGGATGACGAAAATTGATTGTTGTTATTGGTAAAAGACCACAAGCTATATACAAAAGAAAAAGAAAGAAATCTATTTTTTGAAGAAAAATAAATATTAAAGATTAAGTATCGATATTGTTTATTTGGAATTTCAGAGTGTCGAGAATAACAAACTACAATAATAACTAATGTTTAATAACCTGTCTGATCCTCATTTGGCCAAAATCCAGGTGGACAAGTAAAACATGTCGTTTCATCCAGTACAATAGCATCACCACATGAATGACATTTCCAACAACATTTTTCGTCATCTGTATATTTCTAAAATAAAATAAAATAAATTGAGAAAACGACAATTAAAAATAAAAAAATCAATAACCTTAACATGACCCCTTTGACAAGATTCACTACAGAAACGACGAACATTCAGTTGTTCTAATGGACGTTGATCAGAAAAAAATCGCATTGCTGATGTATTTAAAGTTAATTTTCCTGTACTCCATGTTCCAACTTGAACATAATGAAGATGATGTTCGAAATCATCTGCAATACCTTGTAAATTTAATATATCATATCTTAATTAGTACAAGAAAAAAGAGATAAATAAATCATAAAAAAAAATTTTCTTCTCTCTACCTTCCAGGACCATCACCATTTTCATCAAAAAATACTTCTTCGCCTAATAGTAAGAAAACAAAAATTTTTTTTCAAATGTAAACTTATTAAATTTTGATTCTTACCAGTAATTCCCGTAAATCGACTACTTTTTAAAAATTGCATTAATAATGATGAATTCATACGAGCCATATCTGGACATAAACCACTTGTTCCATTACAAACTTGTTTATGCATTTTATCTAGACCATGTACAACAGCTAATATGGAATTAATAACAAATGCAAGTTTTGGATCTTCATTATAAGGTACTCTCTTAAGACTTTCACGTTCAGGTGTACATAATCGAGGATATTTATTTGGTCGACGAGTAGAATTATTAGCATAACCATTTAATGTACAAGCAAACTTTTGTTGCCAATATTCATGAAACCAAACATTTCGTGTATTATTATATACATGTAAATTACGAAAATATTGTTCAAAACCGGGTACACGTAATGAACGTGCTTTAATCTTATAAAACAATATATTTATTTCGAAATTAGATGTCTTTAGAAAATAGTTATAATTCTTACCGTAATTGCACCTAATGCTACAGTTTCAGTATTGTTTGGTATTACATTAAGACGATCTGCCCAAGCATCACTAAAAAAACAAAACATAATAAATACGATGAAGTCATACTATATATTCAGATAATCAAAAATGTAGAAAATAGTCTTATTTCGATGTAAAGACACTAATCGAATAAGACTTCACAAATTGAACTCATCGATAAGATCTCTTTCTCTATAGTAGAATCTTCGATTTTGAAATTTACTTAAGAGGCTGAATCCCCGATCTTCTAGAAATATCACAATATTGACAGTTTAAAATGCTAATTATTTATATGTAAGTTTAGTTAATTACCTAGCAAGAATAATAAATCGTTGTGTATAATTTAATTCATTTATTGCTTGTAAAATAGCTCGAATCGAATGATCAAGACAAAAACATATAAGAACTTGTGCACGAGGTGCCCGAATTACAAGTTGTTTGATTAATTGACTAGCAACTGTTATATTTGCACCAATGGGCTATGAAAAAAAAACAACAATTATCATTTTAAAACTAAAAAAAAATTGTATCCTTTACCATAGTTAAATCTGCACCAATACATGCATCTTTATTAAGTAAACGACGAATAGCTTCAACACCACCACGACCATAATCACCTATTTCAATTTAAATTATTTATTAAAAGAAAAATAATAATTGTTTATTTTGAATTCTTACCTTCAGTACCAATAGTAGCAACATAACTCCATTGAAATTGTCTTATAATATCAACAATTGCTTGTGCTTGTTGAGTATCTGATGCAATAACACGTGTAAAATATTTATATTTTTCTTTATCACTTAATTGTTTAGCTGTAGCTGAATAACCAATTTGTGGCATTTCAAATAATTGTAATATATTATGTGTTTGCATGGTAATTGAACTATCACCAGGACCAATAATAGCAGCTAATTGAGCTCGATTTCCATTAGAAGTTGCAATTAAATCTCCAACATTTAATACTGATTTACCAATAAATTCAATAGTTTGTTCAAGAGCAACAGGTGCATACCAACATGAATCACGAATTTGATAACCTACAGTAATATTTGGTAATATGGACTGATTTGCATTGACTATATTAAAAAATATAATAAACAATGCAATACAATAAAAAAACAAGAAAACTTTCTCTACTTTGATCAAGAATCCAGAATGTGCCTTCTACTCGATGAATACCATAGTCTTCACGAATGTCACCACTAAAGATTAAATATAGTTTTGTTTTGCTTTTAAACAAATAATTGATAATTCATATTTACCATTCTCGTAATCGACCACCTCCATGTGATGTTGGAGGATTGTGTAAGGAAAAGAAGGCGCCAATCACGATTTGAGCTTCCGACGGTGATGAAATCGCTAGAAATATATGATGTTTTATTTTTTACATAGAGATTTAAATATAATTAAGAATGTTATTATTATTCTATTTTGAGAAATATTGAATAATGTATTTTCATTACATTGAATATTGCAAATCTTATCGAAGAAAAATTAGTTCGTTTTTTTTGACTGTTTTCATCTACTAATTAATAACAATCGAATCGATTCAATAGTTTCTTTGATCCGAATACCATAGAGAGTCTTTTATAGCATATTTCATTTAGATTATTCATATAAATTTCTCTAGACCAATATAGTTAAATTAAAAAATCACGGAAAAACAATATAGTCTCTTGAGATTTGCAACATAGTCGATAAAATTCTTTATGAATACTTAAAGGAGGTTCAAACATCATAATTCTCTGCTTTTTTTTCTTCATGATTCTATTCTCGAAAACAAAATAAAAACATCTCGACTTCAACTTCAACATCAAAATCACTATAAATAATATGAATATATATACATATATACCTGATAAACGATTAAAATAACACATAACAAAATGAGAATGTGGGATGGTAGCAGATAGCCACACGATGATAAAAATAAGGATCAAAAGACGATTGCTTCCGTATTGTGACAGGAAAAAGAGCTGTTCGAACATCGAAATGATAATAACAATAACAGGAGATGATGGTAGCAAGGCAACAAATAAAAATAAAATAGATCAAAAATTAAAGTTTCTATGATGGCATGACGTGACGGGTACATCGATCTTGATAGAATAAATATAGTTTCGAATGTAAACGTTGATAGAACATTAGGAGCCATTGTAAAGCTGCATGGTGTTTTATTTTTGCTTTTTATTCAAAAAGATTAAGCCTAGGAGATAAAAGCAGGGAAAAAGAAACATTGGTAAAAAAAAATAAATGATAAAAAATTTTTGAAGCAATCATTTGTCAATTTATTTTCTAATCATCAATAATCTATACTTCACCATATACTCACTATTCAATAATCCATGACATCAATGAAAAGATAATCCATCTTAGATATATTGTTCTGTTTTCTTTTTTGATTCTTTGTATTCGTCTTTACCGCTCGTTCTTGCACTCTCGTTCTGTCTCGGTGCGCGTATTTATCGATCTATCTATCTATCAATCTTTTTATCTAAAACAGCAGATCACTATTACTACTATTTTCTTTCGTCGCCGTTCTCGTCATCGTTCCCGGTTATTGTCGTCGCGCAATCACGTCTATCAGGCGATGCACACTAGAATGATGTTCAATGATTACTGTTCAGGGTTATTGGTCTTCTTCCTATCTTCTTTCTTTATTTTTTTCTGCTTGTTCGCACGCACACGCTCGTCTTTTTCCGCTCAGCCATCCTTGGCTTATAACTGTGATATATCGGGCGAAGACGAAGAGACATTGTTGCAATCGAGTTAAGCTAGTCTTCGTTTCTTCATCTCTCTCTCTCTCTCTCTCTCTCTCTCTCTCTCTCTCTCTCTCTCCTTTTCTTACTAAATTTTTCTTTTATTGTTTTTCTCTAAGAGCAAAGAAAGATTTTAAGTTTTTAGACAATATAATAATATAATTGCAACAATTTACGCTAATTATGGATTGACAAAGATACATGACATGATCATGATTTATATATATATACAAGCATCAAAGCACTTTGCAATAATATCAGAGAAAAGTGCAACCATCCCTTCTGAACACATTTCAATATGTCGTATGATCAATAGTAATTTGATCCGCTTGTTGTTTTAGCTGTTTTCTATCCAGGCAATTTACAAGATATGTAGTATACAAACATATAAATTTATAAGGTTGCCATTCACAAGTAATGCTTGTTCACTCAATCACGACATTTTTATCATTCGAGTAGAATAATCTGTTGGTGTTTTCCTTTTTTCTCTATGCTTCTCTATTTTTATCTTTTCTCAAGGATAAAAAGAAAAAAAACGAGAATCGAACGCAGCTGAATGTATGTTACACAAGCTAATTCTTTTTTCGTCAATATTGTAGCTCGTTGCCGAACTCATACAAGAAATGAATGTCACCAATTTTTGGTAGCATCGCGTCAAAACACGAGTACCCATCCGTTTCTTCATATCGCATCGTTCAAGTCATAATTCCATATCCGGCTGTTGTTTGCAACGCGAAAGAATAAGTTTTTTTTGAATGATTACACGAACATCGTTCAAGGCTTGAGTATTAAATCGTATGGGCACACATTATTGGAAACATATTCTCTAATATAAGATCATCTAGAATAGTCTTTTTTTTTCTTTTCCTAATGATTTCCTATTGATTCAATTTTTATTTATTACATGAACTTCTATTGATTCAAAAAGAAAAATAAGAATATTTGAATATTGTTTTAAAAATAACAATTTGCAAAAATTTCTTTCCTATCATTTACATAGTAAAATATTAAATTTGGGAACTGTGTCTGGCACATTATATATATACATATTTATATATGGAATCTTCTTGATGGCATTACGATGATCTTTACTGTATAAATAGAAACAATCGAAGATAGATTGAAATCATGAGTTAAATTCGATGGCAAATTTTTTTATTTTCTAGAAAATAGATCTTTGATGTAACTGTAAAAAAATGTAATTAGTGTAAAAGCAATAAGAAAATTTTACTGTTCATTTAATATCACATGTTGCTACAGTCTTAATAGATTTGATCATTCTGTTTATTGATTTGAAGTTTTATTATTTTTCTGTAGTGCATATAAATATAATAACTGCAGCATATAGAACATTTCATTGCATTGATACTCCAAAATCTTTCTTTTATTTCTTAAATAAAAGTGAAATAAATTTTCATGTCGTACTTTGAATCATTCAAAAATACAATAGAATATCTGGGGTTCCATTTACGCACACACTTGATTTGTGCTATTGATATAAATCTATGACTTTTTACACTGTGATTTACTACAAATCGAGCGAATATAGTCAGATTATAGAGAAATAATATAGCAGAAGTAACTATTACCGAGTGATATGAATTATTAACGGAGTATCTTACCGTCGTTCTGAAGTTTTCTGATGGAATTTTACACACTGTCAGACTGTTGAAAAATACAAATGTATATTTATTTTATTTAACTAATTCATTTTTCACCTTTTTTATTTTATTATTAAAATGAAAAATTATAACAAAAATATGTTATCGATAGATTTCACTTCTTCTGTGTTTATTTCAATGAGGTGATATACATACATATGATATATATAAACTGTTGATCATTTCAAGATAAATAGTACTAACTGTTTACAAATAATAAAATGTCATGTAGACGGTAAAACTATACAAATACTGAGTGAATGAATTATCCTCAGTAATGTTTAATAGATGCCTATTATGAATCTAATAAAGTGAGCAACCTTTCGAATACGGTCATTCTTAGTAAAACTTATACTTCTAATATATTACTAAACCCCTCCCCATATTAGAAGCCCCCGGGGGGCTTCTATTAGACCCTGCAAACCTTGGCCGGATTTTGCTGGGCAAAACTGAAAATTTTGCTGGAGAGACCCCTCCAAGGGGGGCTTCTAATATGGGAGGGGCTTCTATTATGGGGAGGGGTTTACTAAAAAAGTTGAAATGGTCTTCGGAGTGGTAGTGAATTCTATATCAGTTTTTATACCTTTTTTTATGTTCATACGCGATAATAGCCCTAGAATTATTGGTATTTTTAGAAGTGGGAAAGGCTTAAAATGCGACAGAAAAATGTTTTCATTCTCAGAGTGCTAAAAGTGATGACGAGGAAAGGAAAGAACACAACCTATCGTGACTCAACCTCTTCAGCGAAAGTCAACTTGCCATCAAACTATGCCTCCCATGATTGTCTTCATCTGAAAAAGACATTTTTTTAAAATTTTTATTTCACTTGTCGTTAACGAAAGGCAAATTGTGTTTGAAAGGTCGGTTTCTGTCTCAGCTATCACGACTTATGAGGAGCACCATCCATCTTTTTCTCTCTAATCAAGAACTAATTAAAGTTGATTTTATTCATGGAAATTTGCATAATTTTGAATGGTTAGTTAAAACAAAAACTTGAATATCTTTCTGTTATTTTTATATGTAAATATACTTCTGTTTAAGGTTTTTTTTACAAACAATTTAGTCTAAAGTTTCACAATAACGCTCATTTCTTATATTTAAAAATAAAAACAAGGAAAAAAAAAATTTTATTATGTATATATATAAAACGAAAAATATGAGGGAGTTGTTTTGCGATCAGATGAATTTATAAAATCCTGATACATTGCCAAGTGCATATATATATATATACAATTGAGAATCATCGAATATGTCTTTTTGAAATCTTTGTTATATTATATAAATACAAACGAAATAAAATTAACGGAGTTGACAACATTCAAACGTTGAACCAGCATTTAGAGAGAAAGCCGTGATAAGTAAACATGGAAAAAAAAATATCCAATAAACACACAAGCTCAAACTATCTGACAGTAAAACCACAAAAGAAATTATATCACAAACACATGTTAATAAGAAAAATTTTATAAATTGTTGGTTTTTTTTTATGCATGATCAATACAACTTTCTTTTTTGATTTTCTCTAATGTTTCAGTATCTTGAAGAAGTTGATCTAGCCTTTTTTCGCATTCTGCAATTGTTTTTATATAATAATCTTGATCAGCTAATATTAAATATAAATTAGCTTGTACAGCAAATACATTTTCAAGTTCAGGATAAAATTCAAATGGACATGAATAACATTTGTGTTTTTGTCTATTCATTATACGTATATCAACAATAGAATCATTTGGATCAATAACACGAAAATTATCATCAAATAATATATGATGTGAACGAGGATTTCTATCATCTGGATCAAACCATATTGGTTTTGATGTTGTATAATGATAATTTGTTTGAAACCATGCATTAAAATCATCTCTTATTGCATGTATACCATGACCACTTTCTAATTTTTCATGAATTAAAAATTCATCTGCTATTATTTGCATATCAGAATCTTCTTCAAATTTCATATGAAGCAAAATGGATTGATCTTTTTTTGAACGTTCAATACGACCAGGTTGAAGATTAACATGAAGAGGTTGATTAAATTGAAATGATGGATGTTCATTTGCAAGAACACGTTCAGCATTTTCTAGAAAATTTTTACTATCATCACCCATTGTCCGTAAATATATAACAAAATCTCGATTAGTCTCTTGTAAATATTGAATAAGACGAAAAAATGATGGTAATATATAATGATAGAGTGTACCATTTGCTGAACGAAAACCATTTACAGGTACAAGATCCTTATGTAAAATTGATAAACGTCGTCTACGCTGATAATGTTCTACTGATGGTTTTAATTCATTTGTATTATGTTCTTGTGCT